GCAGGGTCAGCCATTGTACAGAGCAGCTGGAGTTAAGGGCCTTGCTCAGGGGCCCAGCAGAGTAGGATTCCTCTGCCAGCCATGGGATTTGAACTGGCAACCTTCCTGCTACAGATGCAGATCTTTAGCTACAATGCCATCGCTCTGATCAAGTCCATAAACAAAAACACTTAACTGTCCATAAAATCACCACAAGCTCCAGATTTAAAAAGGCTACACTATAAGATGTACCAAAATCTTATAGGTGATGGCGCGAGAACTCCGAGACAAACATTTGCACCATTTAGGGAAAGGTTTAAGTGAGGAGAAAGAAAGATACTGCTCATGCTCTGATGCACACAGGCTTACCTGTAAAGAAGTGTGGAGTATGCCATCTCTGGAGCTGGTTCACTCAACCTTAACCGACTGACGGCATCCTCCAAATGAGTTCTGACATTTCTAGAAACTTTTTTTGGGGGGCTTATGTGGAAAATGCTTCAGTACTTGATGGCCCTTCACCGTGCAGCACCACAATGACCCAAAATGACCCAGAAAGCAGCAGGAAATCTTGGACTGCATACACTAACTTAATCTCCAGATTTACTCATCTTAATCTTGGGGGATTGATGCTTTTGTCCAAAGCGACTTATGTTGGCAGACAAATCCACAGCTAGGGGTTTTATTAGAATAATTCAAATGGAGTACCTTGCTCAAGGGTATACCAGCAGTGTCTCACCTGGAAATGGAGCCTACAAGCTTCCAGGTACAAGTCCAGACCCCTAAACATGACTCTCCCAAAATTTAAATGTTATCAAGCGTGCAATGCATAGGCTGAAAAAAACAGGGGGTTATAACACCCCAAAAAAACAAAGGAAAACTCCAAGTGGCTCAACAAAGGCTTGGCAAAGCAATTCAAAATATCACGCAAATATTTTGGGAGGTCAGTGGGTTCATACAGTTTTAGCCTCAAAGTGATATGCAGCTCAATACTGACTTTTACACTCAGCAACATAAGAGTAAGTCTCCAGATAATTATGGTTTCTTGAAAAATCACAGGACTGAACACAGATCAGTTTAATTTTTTTGCTCCAGTATGATCCAACGTGTGCCTATGATAAAATGTATTTTATATTGTAATTATATTTCACATTTATTCTCATGATCACTAATACAAAAGACTGTAAAGTACCAATAGGTTTTGACTTTGCCTTCTTAATAGTTTTGGAGGGCACTGGATGTAATGTGACAGAAATGTCTGTGAAGTTCACAAACGCTGCATGGCTACAGTTTATACTCACAGATTTGGGGTTGGGGTGATACCGCGACGTGTCACAGACAACACAGTAACCAATCAGGCGATCCCCCGGGAACAGGTGGGCAGCACCAGTGGGGGACAGCAGCACTTCCTTGGTCTCGGGAAACAGCCAGTCAATGGTAACATCACTCAGGACTGGAGACATGGACTTCTTCAGGGATCTGATCATCTGTCAAAAGAGCTTCAGTGAAAGTCAAGAAGGTCATGCGGTGCTGCTACATTTTCAGTACGTTCCACCGTCAACGCGCTGAAAGTGAAAACAACCTCATAGGCACTGTCTACCACCAATTTGTGCATTTCCTTCCAACCTTCCGGGTCCTTGTCTGAGCAAATATCAGGATTCAGCATCTGAAGATTAACTCCTGCCACATTGGCACCACTCACAGCATTGTGAGTTACTCCCTGAAACAAAGGCACAATATGTGAGTGGACACGGAGCTAGTAACATGATGAGAAGATAAGATCAGATATACATATATAATTTAGTGTACTAGGAGTTGTCTTTTTCGCACACCTCAACTTGCTCTCCATGTGACACACAGACACAGAGAGAAGCTTGGGGTCAGAGTGCGGGGTCGGCCATTTATACAGCACCCCTGGAGCAGTTGGGGTTAAGGGCCTTGCTCAGCCACCCAACAGAGTAGGATTCCTCTGCCGGCAGCGGGATACAAATGGCAACCTTCCAGCCAGAGACCCTTAGCCACAGAGCCACCACACCGCCCCATTCTGCACTGAAGGCAGAATACTAGCAGTGAGGTGGGTATTTCTGGCTCAGTGATTTGGCCTGCCTTAGTGGCCAAGTATCCATAGACATGGACAGATAGTCCCAAAGTTAAGGGTGCGCTTTCAGTTAAGAGTTGGCAAAAGCACAAACTGGTCCAAACCTGAAAGCAACAGTTAAAAGACTTGTCCTTAAAAATGACGTCATGATCCCATTGTTCAGAATTATTCCACTGAATCCAGAGGCTGTGTCCTCTATTGTCAGCATAAACTAATAAAGAACCATATGCATTTTGCAAATTGGAGTTGCTCCGTTTTTTAATACCCAATGCCAGTTTTGCACAGACATGCCTTACTGATCGTGCCTGGGCAATGTATGTTTTACTGACTCTTTACCACAGACACTGTCCAGTGTGGGTCTTCACATAATGTTTTCCGATTTACCGTTTTTGGAAGCTCTGTTTCTTGAATACCTTTGTACTTCTGTCTTTAGGTGTTTTGTGTTCTGTTCAAACACGTTACATTCAGCAGCACAGTCTTCATCCTGCCTAGCCAATCACTATCACCATAGCTCGCAGCATGTCTCCACAGTATTAGGATAATGGAGCCTTCTTAAGTGTCCGTCATTCAAGAAATAACTACGTGTTTGCTTAAAACAAGGACAATTTCAAGGATACTATATGCCATGCACGGAGATACACTACAGTGCAAATGTCTTCAATATTTTGAATTGTTCTTACCTTTTCACCCATTTTTTTCCTTCCTTACAGTATACAAAAAGAAAAATCCGTTGTTATCTTCTAAAAGTTATTCCCGGTAGATCTGTATTTTTGCTGTAAATTTACCTTTATGGATGTACTGTATATTACTAAAAATAAGATGTTACATTACCTATTATTACCCATTACCTATCCTCATGCTTAATTTGCCTTTTGTGGTCATCTTTCTGAAGAAGGTTCAAATCAGTGGAAGATCTGAGTAAATTGCTGAAGCTCTTTAAGAATATCTTTGAAGAAGGTTCAGATGTGGATGCATTAAAGTTTTTCAAATAAGCTTGATTTCTTCTCATCCCACTAAGACATGTTAATAAGAATGAAATTTATTACTAATAAATTAATATATACTATGTATATACTGTTTATAGTAGGAAACAAGACTAGAATATCTGCCTAAATTGCTAATGCTCACTAAGAATTGTGCACAGCACTGTACTGTAAGTATTACCAAGTTGAATGATTGCAGTCTCAACTTGTCACCATTAGTACTTCTTCTCGAAGAAGCATATTTCCTCTTCCCAGCCTCAGGATGTTGATATAGACTGGCATCAAGCCAAGTAATGAATTATCATTAAACAGTCATTTAATTGTGTTAATCCTTTCAGTTAGTCTTCACATTACAAGAAATCCTTTGCAGAAAAGTCACCTGCTCTGTAGGTATTTATTTAACCTTTACTTTCTTTAGGATATCTACAGTATAACGGGATTTCAAACGGGATGTTTGTTTGTATTTGTGTGTTTCTATGTGTATTTAGGAAAATAACATAATGATTTCTACAGTAATATCCCAATTCCCAATTCCCCATAGCAGGGATCTCCAGCTTTGCTAACCTGCAAAACTTGGGGCTATGTGTCCATGATGTCTCCAGGTACAGCATTGGAGACCACAACACGTCTTATGTAATCAACCTTGAGAGACCTTAAGAAAATCAGTCTACATTATTATCTTTACATTCCAAAATAATTAGGTTAATCGGCAACTTCAGATGGAATAAAAACTAAAAAAGCCCCTCGAGGAACTGAATTTGAGACGCCTACCACTGGTCATCTGCCATTCTATTCTTTAGGGAAAGTGTATATCAGATCATTGCTTTTATGGGTAAGTTAATGTGTAATTCAAAAGAAGATTGCAATAATGGTCATGTTGATTTCTCAACAGATCAGGGACTTATCAAATGTGATCGTTTTTAACGCAGGGAGTGTGTATTTATTAGGGTAATGAAATTATGAATATGTCATACAAAATAGGAAAGGTTTAAAAATTAAATAATTTACAGAGGGAGAAAAGGAGCACTTCACACTGGAGAAGACTCCAGTTCATTGCAAAGCCCGCACAAAGGGACAATGTAAATACATCAACTCAACTAGCCAGCAATGTCTCTGGAAGTTAAGAAGAGCACCCAGAGAGGGCCCACACAGATTATGCAAACTCCACACAGTGAGTGTCCCAATCTGGAATCAAAACCAGAAGAGCTGTAATGCAGAAGCATTAACTGCCATACAACTGTAGTACCTGAGTTTGAATAAAATATTATTGTACACAATACAGTACACTTACCTTTATAGATTGATGTTGCACTGCTAAAATCGGTCTTATTTCAGCACTCACAGAAGTGGAAATACAGAGTGAAATACTTTTTCAGTTTTCCAAAAATCCTAAAAAGAAAATCGCTTGCTAGTTGCTTTCACAGACTGCATTCTCCAATTTCCGTATTACAAGATCCATACATTAATATAGAATCTAAACAATGACAAGAATGCCAAAAAAGGCTGATCGAACCAGCCTTTAACTTCTCATTCTCTGCTGCAAGCTGTTCTATGGCAAACACCATCTGGGAAGCTTGATTCTGTGGAATATGTGCCGTACATTTTCTGTGATCACAGGGATTGTTGCAATTGAGGAAGTGGAGTTTCGAACGAAAAGATGTAATGGGTTGTTGTTTTGGTTAGTACAACTTGATTGCCTATATGGACCCCTGGAGGTTCCAGACTGTATTACAGGGTCGAAAATGTTTTTCAGACTTGGACCTGAAGTATCCCAAATTAGCCCTACATTGCCTGGGCTGATTAAATAAGTTGGCTAAATGATTTGCTTTTTCCAGTCCGCCACTGTTTTTGGCAGATTAGATATTGGTAACATTCAAAACCCAAGCGCCAATTGTCTTAATTGTGTTTCTGCCAATGTCCTCCATCACTTGTCTAGGTTTTAAGCAGATGGATCCATACAGAACTAACAGGTGGTACTGCCTGATACAATGTAATGCACTCACGTGCCCATTTAACACCAAAAGGACCTTAATACATAACCTTTTAGGAGTTTAAGAGTTCTATAGAGTCCTAGAGGGCAACAATAATTTACTAAACAAGTAAAGACCAGTTTAAAGAGTTTACTCAACTATGCCCAAAACAAAAAATGTATTCGATATGTCTATATTTTTATTAAAATAAAAATTCAGTAAAAGATTCAGCTTCTAAGATCTGAATGACAGAGTGGTACTGCAGGACAAGATATATACTGGACTGTATATACCTATATACTGTATAGCCTCTACATTTAGTCATTTGAGCGCCCTGAGATCTGCATCCCACGACTGCCAATAAGCAGTTTCTTCAGAATTCTGAAACACAGTAGTCTTCAGTTGTTTTGTTCTAGTTTTGTATTCTAGGGAAGTTTGAATTCAATTAAAACCTCCCACGTTCTAATTTCATTTTTGGAATTGAAAAGTAAAGCAATTCTTTTTTTAGAAACATTGTGTTCCGCATGGTCACTTCGCTAAGCTTAACATTTTGTTCATGATCCTCCTCTAAAATAATACGGTCCCCTTTTTTTGGATTAACAAGGTAATTCTTTATCCTCTTATCTCAATTTTATCAGCTCCATTGAAGCAGCCAGCTAAACTCGTGACTGCTCCTGCAAGCTGTGATAACTTTTAAGCCGCCGCACTGACGCAGTTTGGTTTAAGGGTCATTGTGAAGACTTCTAAAGCTGTGGACGAACAGCTTTTACCAGCTTTTGTGTCATTTTCTTTCTGTTTTTAAAAATGACTGCTGATTGCCTTTTCGAAACATCCCTCAGTGTTGGAATTGCTACTGCTGTATGATTTAGGCTCACCAGCACAACCCTCATATACGATTTGGAGAGTTGAAGACAAAGCACACTCATACTGAAATTGCCCTAGTTTACACACAGCAAGTCAAAAGACAAAAATATCTAAGGCTTTAATTCATAATAATAATAATAACTGCTTACACTTACATAGCGCTTTTTCTGGACACTCCACTCAAAGTGCTTTACAGGTAATGGGGATCCCCTCC